CTTTGGCAATTCACCGGAGGGACCTCCTCCTCACCAATTTGCATTTTTCACTCACTTTCCACACGTCGACCTACACAAACAACACACCATTATTTCTTAAAGCAAAAATAAAGTGGTAAAACCTTAGGTTGCCTCCCAAGAATCTCCTTTGTTAATGTTGTGGCACGATGCAAGTCAACACTTAAACCTCATTTATGGGTTTAGCCATAGTATTACTAGGCAAAGCCCCCTTTTTGTCACAGGTAGAGACTAGATAGTGTATGATCTATAAGGTTCTTAAGTATATGGATAGATCTAGAATGAGAGCCAATCATCTGATGTAGCACTTCTACATTCTCCTTCATCTCTTCCAGCACTCTATCATGCTCGTTGATCTTTTTGAGAATGATTGATAGCATTCCTTCGACGCGTCTACCCTCATCATCCTTAAGCCTTCTTCACTCATAAGGAGGGATCTATCTATCCTTCCTTTTGCATTGGACTTAAATCTCCATTATCTATTTGGTCAAGTCATCCAGCTGAGTTATTAGTGTGGCCAACATGAAGTCCCTCTCTACTTCTTGGTTTGTCTCAACCATGTGATCAAGTAGTTGGGCTGATATCACATAGGGCTGTTGTGCAATACCATCCGGGATGAGTTAATCAGCCAACACCTTATTCCCAGGACCAAGACTTCTGTAAAAACATTCCAGGAGGACTACATCGGGAATTTCATGACTTGGGACCAGTAGTGCTTTGAACCTTAGCCACGACTCATGAATCCGTTCACCTTCCAATTGTTTAAAGGTTAGGATGCGATCCCTGAACATCATCACTTCTAACTGAGGAAAATCCATTTGTTCGCAATTACTGCCCGACATGCTCACCTCATCTATTTCAAAGCAAAAGCACACAAAAAAAAACTAAAAATTAAGTAAGTATCACTACAACTAACAAGAACAAAATTCAACTTAACTAAAAATTCTCAACTAACACCACTCCCTGGCAGCGACACCATTTTGATAAGAACGCTATCAAAGTTACCTAATCAAATACTAAGTGCCAACGATCATTCAGTAGTAATATAACCAAACTAGTGACTTGGGGTCGAGTACCAATGGAGCGGTTCGTAATTGAGAATTAATAGAAAAGCGTAAACACGCTCAAGTCAATCATAGATAAAAACATTTACGAAGAAAAACATGATAAATTAAAGGTTGACACAAGTGTCAAATATTAAAAAGGGGGGGGGGGTTTGCAATTATCAACTAAGACAACAAATAATACGAAAAAACAAATATCGAGATGGGATTCTTGGGATGTGATAGGAATATGGGCCAGGGTAAACAACCGGGTAATATCAATTAATAGTAAACTACTGCAAATCAGTGAAAAAGCTAGACTTTAGTGGGGGTAAACTTTCTCTCGAACAATTTACCCCGAATCAAATTGGTTTCTCTCGAACACCAATAAACGGCAATGAAGCACAACCTTCGCTTTAGTCCATTCGCTCTCTCGAGCTAAATGTGTCAAAAAGGGTTTAGGATTCACTCTCTCGAGCAGAACCCACGATAACCCAATACCCACAGACCATCGAATTAGTAATTTTGGTTTTAAAACCTCTCTCTCAAGCAAGACAAAAACACAAAGTTAAGGTTGTATTTGCAACTACAACCCCATTAAATTCAACCACAATTACTAGCCGAAATCACCTTTAAACAACAAATAAACTATTAACTAACAATACCCAGCAGTTAAATCCAGCCATAATCACATAATCACACAATCACACCCCAATAATTGGGGGTTTTAACTAGACATAGTAAAAAGATAGAAATCGATACCGAAATGTGTTTCCATCTACTGGGTACAATTAATATTGTCTTTACAAATGTCTAAGCTGAAGAATCTTTAACACCCACTTCCAATTTCTTAGAAATGGAAATCTTCAAAGCTAAGGAAAAGTGTCTCCAAAAACAGTTCTAAGTTCTAAAATTGAATAACAAACTTCATATTCTAAAATTGCATAAACTGATTGCCTTCTAAACTAAAAATTGAAACAAGTATTTATAGTTGTCAATAAGTGTGTTGCGAAGGTCCAGTCGGCACAGTTAGTCGGATTGATGAATCCACAAATTGGACTCATTTAGGGCTATATTTTAATAGAAATTGTGTCCTCAAATGCTTATTTTATCTCAATATCTGATGAAAACCTTTAAGGTTCCGGTATGTGAAGTTTTTAGGAAAGCATGGACACTGCATCGCAAAAAGGAACGAAAAGGCTGAAAAGAACCAAGCCTGAGGATTGTTGAGTCCACTTGGCGAGTCACCGAAGGGTCTCACTTCACTTGTTGTTCCAGTGTGTTGAGCGCTGAAGGAAAGGGTCAAGTCGGCGAAAAAAAGGATCAGTCGGTGCATCGCTGAGAAGTTCTGCGGAGTAGTACTATGTCGCCCAATGACCCAGAGCACGGCGATGCCAAAGGATGGTGCAAAATAGCGATGAACTACACCAAAGGGCGAATCACCGAGTTTATCGGCAATTTTGACTAATGTCGCCGAATGGTCCGCTACAGCATAATTTTTTTGAAAACTATTAATACTCGTTGAGAGTTATAGCTTAGTATAAGATTTTTAGTCAAAAACAATTATTTTAATTTTCCTATAGAATAGTACTTATTATTTTTCTTTTGAGTTTGAGAGGGTTTGAAAACTTGAAGAAGAAGAGGGTTTCATCTCCATGGATTTGGACTTGGGTCTCTTGATTTCTTCATTCTTCACCTGTAACAAGACTTAAATTTTCATACCCATTTGAATTTAAGCTCATTTAGGTATAAATTTCTATCTCTTGATGTGTGGCTAAAAACCCCCATTCTTGGGGTGTGACTTAGCGAATATGGGTTAATATTGTTATTGGGTCTTGCTTGTTGATAGATTAAATGTAGTTTAATGGTGATTTCACCTAGTAGTTGTGGTTGAATTTAATGGGTTTGTAGTTGCAAATACAAGTCCACCCATGTGTTTTCAGCTTGCTCGAGAGAGAGGTCGTGAAACCAAGATTGCTAGACTGATGGCCTAAGGAGTGGGTCGGCATGAGGTTCAGCCCAAGAGGGTGAGCCCTAGTCCCATATCCTAACACTCAGCTTGAGAGAGTGAGTGGGGTAAGGCTTAAGCTGGTCTTCATGCGACAAGTGGGTGTCTGAGAGGAACCCATTTGAAATGGGGTAAGTTGCTCGAGAGAGAATTTATTCCCACATATAGTTTTGCCTTGCCACTATTGCTCTATAAATTCTCTGTCGAAAGCATGTACCCAAAAATTTAGATTAACCAGTAATCCGGTCACATCCCAAGAATCCCCCTCTCATTGTTAGATTTTCTTGTTGATTTCGCTAATTTTAGCTTACTTGTGACAAAACCCCCAAATCGATATTTGAGACTTTTGTGTCCCCCTTTAATTTACAATGTTTTAATTGTTAATATCTTTAGCTATGACTAGTTAGAACTAAATTTTATATTTCTATAAATTTTCAAAACCACTCCATTGGGTTACTATATTATCGACGATCGTAGACACTTGAATCGGAAGTAGTGTCGTTGGTCACGATAAGCATCAAAATGGTGCCACTGCTGGGGATTGGTGTTATTTGAGAATTTTTAGATTAGTAAAATTTTTTGTTCTTCTTAGTTGTAGTTGACTCACTTAACTCTCAGTTTTGTTTTGAGTATTTGTGTGTCACAACAAGACATATGAGTGCAAACGGGGAGAATAGCTGCCAAGCGGGTCACCAAGTGGGTGGTGCTTTTCATCGAGACAACATCGCTAGTGTTAATAGTGTTTATAACCTTGCTCACGTGGGAGAGATGGGTGCAATTTGCATGCCACAAGCCGACGAAAATGCAATGTTCGAAGTAATAGCGCAACACTCCAACTCATACATTCAAGAGGTTTATTTGGAGGGTTAGAGCATGAAAATCTGCATGAACATATACGAAGCTTTGTAGAAGTGTGCACCCCTTTATCATTCAAGAATCTATCTCAAGAATCCATACGACTTCGTTTATTTCCATTATCATTGACCGGGGAAGCTACTAAATGGTTGGTTGAGCTTTCAAACATCTCCATCAAATCATGGGAGGAGCTGGTTATGGAATTTAACAAAAGATTCTTCCCTCCATCAAGAGTCATGAAACTGAGAGACGACATACAAAATTTCAAGCAAAAGGAAGGAGAACCACTTCACGAATCATAGACAAGGTTCAAGAGATTTTTGCGTAAGTGCTCAACACATGGACTACCAGGTGAATTGCTACTCCAATACTTTTACCGTAGTCTGGATTCGGTTAATAAAGCGATAGCTGATCAATTGGTACAAGGAGGAATAATGTTACAATCATTTGAAGTAGCCTCATTTCTCCTAGATGGTATGACTAAAGTAAACCAGGCATGGTACACCAAGGATGATCAAGTTTCCCCATTGTGCTTCCGATTAACGTAAGAACAAATTGATAAGGAAAGAGAAACGGACGAAAACATCAAAAAGATGTTGTCTCAAATGGAAATTCTACAAGAACATATGAAGGGGAAACATGGGGTGTTTCGAGTTGAGGAGGGTTCTTCTTCCAGTTACTCAAGACTGAGGGAGAATAAAGGTTGGAACTCCAGAAGAAATGAGGAGGGTTTCCACCCACACTATCAAGAGCGGGAAAGAAATCAAGGTTGGAACTATTATAGGGGTGAAGAACCAAGGAGATATTAGCAAGATTGGGCTGAGCAGGATGATCATGAGGAGGACCAGACTCACTTGAGTGAAATCCCAAAATCTAAAGGTAGTGCAAGTAGTCCTCGGGTAAATGACTTATTGTCGCGCATACTCGATAAATTTGAGGGCTCTGATGATTTGCTAAAAGGGATGAAAGATGACTTTTCATCATTGAACAGTAAAGTGAACTCTCATGCTGATGCCATCAAAATGCTTGAAGGTAGGTTGAGTATGTTATCAACTCAATTAACGTCCTAAACACCGATGGAATATATTGAAAGAGAGCTGGATGTAATTACCCGTAGCAGTAAGGTGGCAATAGGAAATGTGATGGAATATGAGGATCCTCAAAAGCATGAACAAAGTCAAGGTGTGGAAGAACAAAAAGTACCTATCCGACAAAACCATACAAAAAACCCACAGGAGGAAGCGGAGCAACAAGTGCAAGTTCCAAAAGTCATGCACCCTTTACCCAAGATACCTCCACCATTTCCCAAACGTTTGAAAAAGAAGAATGAAGATAAGAAGTTCAGAAATTTTTTGTCATTATTCTAGAACTTATCAATTAACCTTCCTCCGGTAGAAGCATTGTTGGAAATGCTGGGATACACCAAATTCATGAAAGAGCTGGTTACAAAGAAAAAGATCTTGGACTATGAAACGATTGAGGTGCCTCATAGTTACAGTGCAATTATGACAAATGAGTCAATCACTAAGAGAGAAGATCCTGGGGCATTCACAATCTCGTGCACAATTGGCATGCTCCAATTTGCTAAAGCTTTGTGCGATTTAGGAGCAAACATTAACTTGATGCCCTATGCAATCTACAAGCAACTTGGTTTGGGTGAACCAAAGGCAACCACAATAAGGCTCCTCATGGCTGATCAATCAGTCAAGCACCTAGTGGGGATACTTTATGACATATTGGTGAAGGTGGATCGATTCATCTTTCTGGCTGATTTTGTGATTCTAGATTGTGAGATCGATGCTGAAATCCCCATTATTTTGGGAATGCCATTTTAAGCTACCGGGAAAGCATTAGTGGATGTCAAAAGTGGAAAATTGAAGTTTCGTGTGAACGATGATGAGGTGACCTTCAATATCTGTAAATCCATGAAGCAACCAAGTAATATCCATGTGGTGTCTATAGAGGATGTTATAGATGAGGCAGTGGCAAGTGTGAGCCATTTAATGTAAGAAAATGAACCACTTGAATCTGTACTTGCCAATAATGATGAATCCAAAGTTCAAGGTTATGATGAATGGTAGCTGCCTTATTGGGGTTAGGAGTATATTCATGGAATCCAATCAAGTTGGATATCGACCTGAAAACAGAGAAACTTCTCCTGCAAAGCCATCAACAGAAGAACCACCGAATCTAGAGTTAAAAGCACTACCCTCTCATCTGAAATATGCCTTCTTAGGAGCCAATAATACTTTACTAGTAATTATCGCAGCCAATTTGCTTGAGAAGCAGGTGAAATTGCTCATTGAAGTACTGCGGAAGCATATAAAAGCTATTGGATGGACAATAGCGAATATATTAGGAATTCCTCCTGGCATCTGCACTCACAAGATTCAGCTCGACAGTGTATGTAAACCTAGTGTGGAGCATCAACGGAGATTGAACCCTCCAATGCAAGAAGTGGTGAAAAAGGAGATCATCAAGTTGTTAGATGCGGGAGTGATGTACCCTATTGCAGATAGTAAGTGGATAAGTCCGGTACAATGTGTACCAAAAAAAGAGGTATAACCGTAGTCCCAAATGCAAAAGGAGAACTTGTGCCGACAAGACCAGTTACTGGTTCGAGAGTATGCATGGACTATCGAAAGCTTAACTTATGGAACGATAAAGACCATTTTCCAATGCCTTTTATGGATCAGATGCTTGACTGGTTATCAGAAAGAGGGTGGTATTGTTTTTAGGATGGGTACTACGATTACAATCAAATCTCTATTGCGCCGGAAGACCAAGAGAAAACCACTTTTACTTGCCCTTATGGAACATTTACATTCAAAAGGATGCCATTCGGGCTATGTAATGCCCCAACAACGTTTTAGCGTTGCATGTTGTCTATTTTTGCGGATATGGTCGAAGACTCTATGGAGGTATTCATGGACGACTTCTCAGTTGTAGGGGACACGTTTGAAGAATGCTTGACACACCTAGGGTAGGTACTCTAAAGATGCGTGGAAACAAATCTGGTTCTGAATTGGGAGAAATGTCACTTTATGGTGAAATAATGTATCTTTCTTGGGCAAAAGGTGTCGCAAAAGGGGCTGGAAGTTGACAAGACAAAAATTGAGGTCATTGAGAAATTACCCCCGCCGATTTCAGTGAAGGGTGTTCACAGTTTCTTGGGGCATGCATGGTTCTACCGAAGGGTCCTCAAATACTTCTCAAAGATTGCACATCCATTATGCAAACTCTTAGAGAATGAAGTGAAATTCTATTTTAATGATGCTAGTATGGCTGCATTTCAATGTTGAAAGAGAAACTAGTATCCATCTCGATTATCATCAACCCTAATTGGTTCGAATCTTTTGAATTAATGTGTGATGCTTGCGTTATAGCATTGGGAGTCGTGTTGGGGCAAAAGTGCAACAAACTACTTCACCCAATTTACTACGCAAACAAGACTCTTAATAGTGCCCAACAAAATTATACGGCCACTGAACAAGAGTTACTTGCGGTAGTCTATGCATTTGAAAAGTTCCAGGCATACTTGCTAGGACCAAAGTAATCATACATAAGGTGGGTGCTACTACTACAAGAATTTGATTTTGAGGTAAAAGATCGAAAAGGATGCAAAAATCAACTAGCTGATCACTTATCAAGGTTGGAGGTAAGGGCAAATGCTGAGCATGAGGTCAACATAGACGACTCCTTCCACGACGAACATGTGTTTGCAATAACTCTCAAACCTACGCCATGGTATGCAGATTTTGCGAATTACATTGTGTGTGGGTTGATGCCGGATGAGCTGACTTTTTACCAACAGAAGAGGTTCATGTTCGATATTAAAAAGTACTTTTGGGATGAACCATACTTGTTTCGAGAGTGTGATGACAATGTCATTAGGAGGTGTGTGCCGAAAGAAGAAGCATTACAAATTCTCCACGCTTGCCATACATTTCCAGTGAGAGATCACCATGGTGGTATTTGTACCGCTACTAAAGTTCTCCAGAGTGGATACTACTGGCCGTCCTTCTACAAAGGTGCACATGAGTTTGCGAAGAAATGCCCTCAATGTCAGCAGCAAGGCGGAGTGTCTAGAAGACACAAATTACCTCTCACTCCTATTTTAGAGGTCGAGCTATTCGATGTATGGGGGATAGATTTCATGGGCCCATTTGTGAGCTCATTTGGAAATAAATATATCTTGGTGGCTGTAGATTATCTTTCCAAATGGGTGGAGGCCATCGCACTTCCAAACAACAAAGGAAAAAACGTTGTCCAATTTCTGAAATGCTATATCTTCGCAAGATTTGGCACTCCGAGAGCAATCATTAGTGATGGGGGTTCCCGCTTTTGGAATAAGTGGTTTTCAATGGCACTGACTAAATATGGGGTGAAACACAAAGTAGCAACCCCATATCATCCCCAAACAAGTGGCCAAGTCGAAGTGTCAAATCGGGAAATCAAAAGCATCTTGGTAATATAGTAAATGTCAACAGAACTGACTGGTCTAGGAAACTCGATGATGCACTATAGGCATATCAGACTGCTTACAAAACACCTATCGGTATGTCCCCATATCAGTTGGTTTATGGTAAGGTTTGTCATTTGCCCGTCGAGTTAGAACACAAAGCATTGATTGAAAGATTTAAATTTGGATTGGTCAAAAACATCAAAGAAGTGGGTAGAGCAGTTGAACGAACTGAATGAATTTAGACTAAGATCATATGAAAGTTCAGCCATCAAAAAAGAGAAGATGAAGAAGTGGAATGACGCTCGGATACTCAAGCGGGACTTCAAGGTGGGAGATTGGGTTTTGTTATACAACTCTCGACTTAGACTCTTTCCTGGAAAGCTCAAATCCAAATGGTCTACCTTTTAGGGTAACACGAGTGTTCACCAATGGCGCCATAGAAGTTGAAGATCAGGAAGGACCTCCATTTAAAGTGAACGGTCAACAACTGAAATTATACTTTGGGGATTGTCAAGAGATTTCTTTTGTTGAAGTGGTGTATTTGGAAGATGCCTGAAGGTGCTGCTGCGTCGTGCCGCGTCGTTAACTAAGGCGCTGTTTGGAAGGCAACCCAAAATCCATTTATTGCTTTATGCTGCTTTGATAAAGTAATGGCGTGTTGTTTGTACAGGTTAAAGTATAAGAAGTGTTTGAAAAAGTGATGGATAGTAAGCAATAGATCTAGTCGGTGAGTCACCGAAGGTGTCAGTGAATCCGACCTTGTTTTCCATTTGACTCAAGACAACGTCAACATTAGAGTATGTAAAACTCTGTGAGATTTGGAGACTATTGGCGAAACGCCGACTATGTCGGCGGTAACGATGGAAACCGTCATTTGGACCTTCACGATGACCGAAGATCCTGTGAAACTCGACGAATCGAGTGTTCACTCAGTGAATCGCCAAGAGGTTCGGCGATTGGAACTAATGTCACCGAGTGGGCGAGAAATGGACAGCTTCTACAAGCTAAAGGTTTAAAAGTTTCAACTTCATTCACTTTCCCTCACTTTTTATCTGCCCAAACTTACACTTGCATTCTATTTTCAATATCCCTACACTTTTAGAGTATTTTAGTTGTTGATTTGTGTTTGGAAGTTGGATTACATTGCTGTCTAGCGACTCAACTACATTTTAGTCAGCACGAAAGGTTGGTTCCCAAACTCTTAGTTCTTTCTATTGATTTTGGACTTAATGCAATGATATTACCCTGTTGATTTATGCTGGGTTTCTATGGTAGGATTAGAATATTTGTCTGCCTATTAGATCTGCAAATTTTTCTTGTACTAAGTTAAATGGTTAATTCCTGAAGGTTGCGTTTTTAAACAGACTTAAAATTTGTGGGTTTAGCATGATTGTCACTAGGTCTAAGCCTAATTTGAGTTGTGCACCTTAATTGTGTTTTCGGGGCCGCATGGTTGAATTTGGGAAAGTGGGTAACAAGGAGGCACGTTGGGTCATTCAGCGAGCCGTGGCGGGCTCGTCGAACAACTCAGCGGTTCGCCCAAGCATCCTATCTCGCCCTTATTATCATGCTTTATTTGTTGTGGCTTTTGTAACTTTCGATGAGAAGCATGAGGTCACCAAAAGCACTCGGCGACTCGCCGAAAGTCTTATTGTTCGCCCTTTAATCTGCACCATTATATCTTCTGTGCATTGTACTTGGCAAATCGCTGAGTGGTTGTGCATTTCGTCGATTGGTTCGGCGAAGTGACTCTGCAACCAAACTACCATGCTTTTGTATGAAAATTTCTAACTTTTTCTCAAAGCTTTGCAGAAATGGCTAGAGTGAAAGTTGTTGGAAGAAATATGCCACCCCGACATATAAGAGCAAAAAATGAAACAAGCTACATGTAACTCTTGGTCTCAAGCTTAAGTAGGAATAGAATGAAAGAGATAAGGATATCAGAACTCTCAACAACCTTACTACTCAACATACTATCCCCCACTTAAGAGAAAACCTATTCTAAGACAAACATCAGGAACTATCAACTTACCGGTACCTTCATCCGGATTTGCTCCTTTGCCCTCTTTGGCTTGAAGTGCGTAGAAACGGTTTTCTTTGGCGCATTAGGATCCGGGCCAACATAAGAAGCTTGTTTGGCCTCCCTTCCTCTAGCCGTAAGAGTAGGACAATTTCTCAATTGGTGATCATGCTTTCCACAACCATAGAACCCACTAGTACCGGCTAGGCACTTCCCATGGTGCCTCTTCCCACAAGTGGTGCAAAGAGGTTTAGAAATGGAGGTCCACCACCTTTCTCCTCATTAACCTTAGGAGCACTAGAAGAATCTTGGTTAGGATCTCTCTTCTTGAACCTAGGTTGACCTTTCTC